TATTGTTTATCTATGTTATCTGTTTTGGCTTTGTATATTGTCTAAGTGTTTTGTTTTAAGTCTAAGTGTGTTTACGTATGATAGCTGTAAGATTACTACTAAATAAATACTTTTTTTTCTATTGTTCCATTTAATTCTATAATTTTGATAATATAACGTTTTTATCACAAAACCACTGTCAAGTTCAAATAACGTAAGAAACGGCTGTATAAACGAGGCGAGTAAATTCATGACAGTAAATACGGATTAGGTGGTTGGTGAAACTCGGTGAAATGTGGTTATACAGCACTTGGTATCGGCTTCTGACCACCCCAGGGATTACCAGAGACGTACCTAAACTCGCCTACTCATCTGATCTATGGCATTTTGCCTTTGTGAAGCCTATCTTCGAGGGTTCCCTCTGAGGACGTCCGGGTAAATGATTTAAACCTTTTGGGATGTTTGTTACAGAGCTTATTTAATTGTTGATTACTAAAGCTTGATAATTGGAAAATCAACTTGATTTCGATATAAAATCAGATATATTATCGTACACGGAATGTCTACAAATTATTTCGAACTAAATATTATTCAACTTTATAATAATACGTTTCTTTCACATTTTTATACAATATCAATCAGAAACAAAAATACTTGGATGGATCCAAAATGAACGTAAATTGACAAATCGAAGTTAAATTGTTAAAATATGTTTTTTTGACCTTTGGCTTATACTAATTTGAAAACTTTTATTTATTTATATTTATTTATACTTCATTGCCATACACATAATTAATTATACATATAGAAAAAAAAACAAAAAGTAAGTAGGTTACATAAGTTATTAGGCAACGGGCGGCCTTATCGCTGACAAGCGATTTCTTCCAGGCAATCCTAAAATGGAACTTTTATGGACTATACCAGAACAAAAGATCGTGAATGCTTGTAAAATGAGGAGTTTGCAAACTGAATTTATGAGGGAGAAGCTTTCTACAACGCAAATAAAATAAAAATAAATACGAAGGTATGTATTTTCGTGCCCCGTTGGAAGAAGCACATATAAACTGGAAACCCTGGTTACCTGGCAAAATAATAACAATTTCGGAATGGTAGGCACAGAAAATATCAATTAAAAAGATTCCGAAAATTTATCTGCTTATTAGTACCATGCACGTGATCGATTGCGATCATCATACAAAAATGTTTATTGGCATGTACATGAACGAGCCTCGAGAAAAATAGGTGAAGAAAGTCAGCGGGGCTTAATTCTTTATCATAAACGATTAACATTAAGATTGAATAAAAGGCATCAAGGAGCTTACAAACCAAGTCAAAGAGATTTAAATATAGGAAACACAAACCTTTATGATTATGATGTTATGATAATATATAAACGCTTTGTATTTGCCTCACATTTATTATGTATGAATTGAGTGCAGTGCACTAGTAAAGCCTTATCTCACACTCCTTATTATATGACGTCACATTTTCCAGTTTATTGAACTGGAAAATATTCCCAAGTAGCCTATAGGATATGAAAAATTACCGTCTCCTTCAATAATATACTAGCTGATGCGTTAGCATACTTGTAGAATTCGGATAAAATTGGTTTATATATAACACGATTTAGCCGTTATACCGAAATATATTCGGATTTATTAAATTAGTGTTAAGAAATATATTTTAAGATAATTTTGGTATAAATCACTAGCCTCTTTACCTTTTTCCTATTTTCTTTTTTACCTTTTTCGTATAATAATATTTTTTTTAAATACATTAATTTAGGTTTATCATAATTATCGTATTTTATCGTAAATTTTTACAAACAATTTTAAATTAATCTCACGATTCAATTGGTCAATCAGGATAAACTATTTTATCCGAATATTGAAGTAAAAGCGATAATGGCGGATTAGTAAGTGTCAAACTGCCAAAACTCAATAAACGATTTTCATTCAGTTAATTAAGTTAGGTAACTTGTCAAAAGTAATTTATTGACTATTGATAAGTACATAATTAAATCGTTTGACTGAATGGGTACTCACGGAATTATTATATTTGAGAACATAAATGGAAGATTTCCTATAAATAAGTTACCCGACGGTTTTTGTTTTCTTATGTGCTTTCTTACCAGATTACCGACTTACCCTATTGTAGAGTTTTGATAAAAGTGAACTTATATGAATTACGTATATGAATGCTGAACCAATCCAACTTCTTGACACGACAGGAATAAGACACCTAAAGAGAACTAAACCTTTTGAGTTAATAAACCTAGTGTAGTGAATTTAAGTGCAAGTGTAGTATCACGGACACATGAACATAGTGTCAAAATGTTATAAAACACTAAGACTGTTAATGAACATTACCTTAGTTTAAGTTATAGTATTGTAGAAAATTAGGTCAAAATAATATTACTTATTAGCCATAATTATTGTATAGGCTAGATTGTAATTCATGTAAACTCGTAAGTACTCTTTTCTTTGTGAACTTTATTGTAAAAAAAAAAGAATTATTTATAGCTAGAGTCGCGAGCTTGCGATCATAGAAGTGTAGCTGAACAAAGGCTTGATCTCCACGACACGACCCCATAGTTGAGAATCTTCGTTGAAATCTTCTTACCGCATTAATAAAACAAAAATTATCTAACTTTGAATGGCCTTATTACCTAACTTACAGCCTAATCTAAGCGACTTTAAGCTCAATATAAGTCAGACCAATTTCTCTAAATGCAAGCTTATTAGATAATTATACGTCAGAAGTTAGTATAGACAATTATAATTCACACACGCACCGTTACCCCGTGACTGCCTTGAAGTTAATTAAGTTAGTTGTAAGAAGGTTTGAATTTGGGTCTCTAATTAAAACTTGGCTAAATTAATATGAGTCACGTTTGTTTGTTGGGTGCTACTTTTTGTTAATCGTTTGTATAGGGGCGAGTGTTGATGGTATTATTTAGGGGATTATTTCGTTCAAGTTTACGCAATTGTTTTTAATATCCAACAATTACCGTATAATGCAAATCAATAAGTCAAAAGATTATTTTTACGCTACCCGACTTTGATTTTGAGTTAGTTTTTTACATAATGGGGAAACAATCCTGCAGGATGCTCATAAAAGCATAACTACCGCCACGTATGGACACCCATTTTGTTACTAGTGTATGCGTTGCCGGCCTTTGAGGGAGTATATATTCTTGGTGAGACCTCCACTAGAAGCTGCTTCCATATTTCGCTAGTTCGCTAAAAGCATGTTAAAGCGAACTGTGCAAGATTACCAGTCATCAGGTGGTGCGGAACCGGTGCGAAGAATTATTTGGAGCGGTAAAGAGTGAGAAACAAAGCAGCGGGGTTCAATAAAATTATTCGTCAGAACAATCTTCATGGTATAATTTTGTTCAATACGCATAGTGATGCAATGCCTTTGCATAGAGAAAGAGAATCAAGCCGGTGAGTAATAAAAAGCCTGGACATTGACAATCTGACAAATAGAAGAGGTTGATATTTGGGACCAAGGGCCCAGAGATGAGAGTAGTATTCCATCATCGGACGTCGTGGCAGAATACGAAATTCCACCCGTATCACCTCGACGTCAGCCGTTCCACAACTGAGCGTTTTTCAAGGCAGTTTTTGCCGCGCACCACCACTTTGTGGAACCAGCTGCCTACTGAAGTATTTCCGAACCAATTCGACTTAGGGTCCTTCAAGAAAAGAGCGTACCAATTCTTAAAAGGCCGTTAACGCACTCGCGAGCTCTGGCATTGAGATTGTCCATGGGCGGCGGTATCACTTAACATCAGGTGAGCCTCCTGCCCGTTTGCTCCCTGTTCTTAAAAAAAAATTGGTCGTAATGGAGCCATGTAGAGCTGCAAATCTTTTGTCCGTTTATTCCTTCTAGATGATAATGATATTATTTAGAAGTAAGGGGGCGTTCTTAACTATTGTGTAAAACAAACTTGGCGATTAAAAAGAGTGGCGGACAGTTTATTGCCAGTTCTTCTCTTCCGTTCTACGCCCTTGATTTGAGAACTGGCAGTACATAAATGTAAAAATAGAACCATTTAATATGTATTTCTTTTTTGACGTTCATAAGTGTACATTGTTTTATCTTTATGAATAAATGATTTTGACTTTGAATGTCTGCACTAGCACTTTGTGACCGATCGCGATATTTTTGTATGCAATTTTGATGTCCGTAAAAAATCACCCAAATGCTATGAATAAAATTCAAATTCATACAAAATTTATTATCAATTAAAAACCAACCTATATTTCTTATTCCAACCCAATTGTAAGAGATTTATGCAATTGCGTGCATTTAAAACGTTTAGGATATTTTATTTCCTAACAATAGATTATATAAGGGGCCAAAAATGTTCTTCCAATAGCGTGTGCAGGAATGCTTTTATGGGTCGTAAATAGAAAATTACCGTTCGACGGGTCATTTTCACTGGACGTTTGTTAATATTGAACTGTGAATCTCCGGCTATTTCGATAGCCTAATATACTTTTTATAGTCAATTGACAATTCGTCTATCAGATGTGAGTAAGGATTTTTCGCGTACGCTAACATTATCGAACTGTGTACGGTTCCATTTAAATTATAGGAAAAGATAATTATTACCAAATACCCACAAACGTACATATAATGCTTCTATTAAAATGGTATTAAAGTCATAGATGTAGAAAATAAATTAAAGTTAAAGAAGGCTTAAAATAATTCACACGTTAATGTAAAATGTTTTTAATGTAGATTATAGAATATGGACACATAATATTGATGAACCCAACATCTTGGGTGAAGCATATAAGGACTCCGCTGGTCAAGCCATCTTGAGAGAATGATCGTAGTATCAAGGCATATCTTGGAAACCGACTGGCGCAGAAGTCATTGGAAAGACGCCTTAGAAATCTGGACGAGCTCCAAGTGGTAAGCAGCGGAGCATCGTCTCGGAGGCCGACTCACTTTGGTTTGATTGGTGGGTGACCAGCGCAGTTAGTATGAAGTATTTTATATAGGTATTAATAACAATTACACTTTCCAAGTAAGCAGAATCCACCAATGCGCTTCTTAATCTGACAACTAACGTTGCAAGCATGTGGTTCACAAGGTAGTGAAGATGTCTCTGCATCTGTAAACATACGTTAATATAATGAACCAGCTTCTTTGTCATTATTTTATTAGTTTATTTATTATGTTCAACATGGAATATTTATTCGGTGAACTATTCATAATATTGCAGCATATTGAGCAGTGTTGGCCTAGTGGCTTCAGCGTGCGACTCTCATGCCTGAGGTCGTAGGTTCGATTCCCGGCTGTGGACCAATGGACTTTCATTCTATGTGCGCATTTAACATTTGCTCGTACGGTGAAGGAAAACATTGTGAGGAAACCGACATGTCTTAGACCCAAAAAGTCGACGGCGTGTGTCAGGCACTGGAGGCTGATCACCTACTTGCCTATTAGATTTAAAAATGATCATGAAACAGATTCAGAAATCTGAGGCCAAGACCTAAAGAGGTTCTAGCGCCACTGATTTATTTATTTTTTATTCATAATATTGGGTTTAAAGGGGTTAATCAGGCAATTTTATAAAATGCAGAATTGTGACTGCAGCATTGCATATGCCCTGAGGAATCACTGTTTGGAAAATATTTTCAAATGCTATATAAAGAAAAACAATAGAATTTCTTATTCAACGATTCATACTATCACCAGCAATTGACCCTGTGTTTCATACATTCTTCAGTATCGTATTACTATTATTACTACGTATTAAAGATCCCGTAAAGGTAGTGTAGACAAGGGGAGCAGACTTAGAGAAATAATATTGCTGCCCTGCCAATAATTTGTCAAAATTAAATTTATGACATCCATCACTTAGATATTATGAAACTAACTAATATCACGTTAGAACTCGGCGTGAGATGTCTAAGTTAATTAATGAATGTCGTGTAACTGTGGTCCCGCTTGGTAAGTTACATTCCTAATAATATTTACTAATGCCGGCGGTTTGGTTTCAGTCAAATTAGGTTAAAACTTATTAAAAGATTATTATAGATTATCTACCGGATCATTTGTTTGCTATGCAAATTTAAATTATTTAAAAATATTGCAATTACCTTCCATGTCACAGTAACATTCCTTCTCAATACAAATGCCATTGCGTAGACCACGCTCACTGCAACTCGTTTTACACTGTGTTGAGTCACATTTAACGTCATTCTCAAGTGGATTGTCTGTTGTATTGGTTGCTAAAGATTCTATAATAAGAGAAAATTGATACTAAACGAGACATTGGACAGAATTTGTTTATACTTATATTAATCATTATCAATGATTAAGTACGTAATGGTAAGTTGTGAGCATGACTGTTTTCTTCTAAACACTTCTAGTTTATCAAAAGAGTCTGAAAAGAATGCATTCTCTAAAACTGCATTAATACCCCGGCACTCTGTAACTCCATTAGAAATTACGTTACCTGACCGTCTTTGTACCGCACGATATGAAGGTCAATGCTACTGATTTTGGAGGGAACACTAAATTGGGTACATAAGGTCGGGATTGGTGTCGCTTTCGCTATTGGAAGTTAAAGAGTCCCGGTGCTGAACATTGAAACAAAATATGTAATGGTAAAGAGTTTTGCTTAATTGTGCTTGATTAAGCAGAAGGTCGAATCATGTCGCGTTCGTTTATACAAAAATTGTGTACCGACTATCTTTTCGTCTGTGTACTGTCGTTGTGTTTGCGAATACTCTAACGAAACTTTACCATTCTTCGAAATGTATAATTTCTACATGTTGAAGATTAGATTTGGTTCTAATTAGTTTGAGAATATAATAAATAATTATTATAAAATCTCATTCGGTAATATTCTAATTATGAAATTAAATACAGACTTTTATTGGCATATTTTCTTTAAAAAAGTTCAAAAATTAAATAAAAGCATTATTCTCCTAACAAAACAATGCTTTAAAATAATTTCTTAATTATTAAATTACAGTGTGTCCCGACCAAGGAGGTTTCAATTCAATTAAAGTATACATAATCTGTGGTGAGCACGCTGCGCGCGCAACGCGCTAGTTCCGAGCCAATATACCAATAACAGACTTTTTCCATTTTGGCGCTATTTCATACATATGAATTTGAGTAATATTTTGTTGGATAAAACTTTAGTAGCAAAAATGTCAAGCAACACCGACGATACCGATGGAAATTTAATTCCACCTGACATTAGAAACAGCTACGAAACTTACGAATAGGTAGTCTTTTGCCGGAAAAATCAAGAAAAGCGTACGACAAATGTTACCAAGACTTTATGACTTGGAAACCCATAGCCATGAGATTAAATAAAGTAGTGTATGCAACGGCATATAATTAGGTATTAAAACACTCGTGTAACCTTATTTTGAAACTCACCTACGGCTCGTTTTAAAAAACTACACTCATGTTTTAATACCCTCTATTATATGACAGTTGCATAAACTACTATTTATTATATTCTTATATGTCAAAAGTGTAATAACGTTTACCTTCATTGCTCAACAGTTGTCGGAAATTGTAGCATTTGCATTGGTTATTTACGCAAGCCCCGCCGGGAAATTTCAGGCGACGGCAACGTCTGTCGCACTCACGGTAATTACAACTGCGATATTCAGTATTGATTTTAGCTGAATCTAGACCTGGAATATTAGATTGATACGTGTAATTATTGCTAAGAAAGCTAGTTTCAAACTCGCAATAACCCAGGCGTACAATAATATTATGATTAGTGAAATATTGAGAACTTTTGAAATTAGAATATCAAATACATATAATGAGATCATTCCTTATTTGTATTATGAAATCAAGCCTCACAAGTCATTATAATTATATTAGTTATCATATTAGTAATATTATGGATATGTTTTATCCATATAAAACATATCCATAATATTACTAATATCTCTGCTAAACTGCGTACTACGGAAATTATCACATTTGCATCTGCTTCCTACACATGCACCTCCTGGGAATCCTAGACGACGACATCTTTGGTCACATTCCTGATAATTGCAATCACGTAGGGTACTTGCAACCTCAGAGTACTCATCTATAATGATTCATAACATGAACCGGGTCTTACAGCGTAGTTTTAGTTGTACTACTTTTAATAAATCAAAATAAATTGATACATCTGTCTATAAGTTTGGTAACTTAAACTTTTGACAGAAAACGTAAGTTTACTAATCATAATAATACCTTTAGAGGTACGGAAATTGTCGCACTTGCATTTGTCACCCACACACGCACCACCCCGGAAACCAAGCCGTCTACAAAGTTGCTCGCATGCCCGTAAATTGCAACTACGCAGTTGATTTACGTCCATATCTCCGGCGTCGAAGGTTAAATCATTATTATTTTCAGTATCTGTCTGAGTTTTGTAAGATCAGTTTATACTATTACTTAAAAACATTCATATAAGAATGCAAATGTACCTGCAATGCTTTCCGATGCGCGGAAGTTGTCGCACTTGCATCTGTCACCCACACACGCACCACCCCGGAAACCAAGCCGTCTACAAAGTTGCTCGCATGCCCGTAAATTGCAACTACGCAGTTGATTTACGTCCATATCTCCGGCGTTGAAGGTTAAATCATTATTATTTTCAGTATCTGTGTGAGTTTTGTAAGATCAGTTTATACTATTACTTAAAAACATTCATATAAGAATGCAAATGTACCTGCAATGCTTTCCGATGCGCGGAAGTTGTCGCACTTGCATCTGTCACCCACACACGCACCACCCCGGAAACCAAGCCGTCTACAAAGTTGCTCGCATGCCCGTAAATTGCAACTACGCAGTTGATTTACGTCCATATCTCCGGCGTCGAAGGTTAAATCATTATTATTTTCAGTATCTGTGTGAGTTTCGTAAGATCAGTTTATACTATTACTTAAAAACATTCATATAAGAATGCAAATGTACCTGCAATGCTTTCCGATGCGCGGAAGTTGTCGCACTTGCATCTGTCACCCACACACGCACCACCCCGGAAACCAAGCCGTCTACAAAGTTGCTCGCATGCCCGTAAATTGCAACTACGCAGTTGATTTACGTCCATATCTCCGGCGTCGAAGGTTAAATCATTATTATTTTCAGTATCTGTGTGAGTTTCGTAAGATCAGTTTATACTATTACTTAAAAACATTCATATAAGAATGAAAATGTACCTGCAATGCTTTCCGATGCGCGGAAGTTGTCGCACTTGCATCTGTCACCCACACACGCACCACCCCGGAAACCAAGTCGTCTACAAAGTTGCTCGCATGCCCGTAAATTGCAACTACGCAGTTGATTTACGTCCATATCTCCGGCGTCGAAGGTTAAATCATTATTATTTTCAGTATCTGTGTGAGTGTTGTAAGATCAGTTTATACTATTACTTAAAACATTCATATAAGAATGCAAATGTACCTGCAATGCTTTTTGATGCGCGGAAGTTGTCGCACTTGCATCTGTCACCCACACACGCACCACCCCGGAAACCAAGCCGTCTACAAAGTTGCTCGCATGCCCGTAAATTGCAACTACGCAGTTGATTTACGTCCATATCTCCGGCGTCGAAGGTTAAATCATTATTATTTTCAGTATCTGTGTGAGTTTTGTAAGATCAATTTATACTATTACTTAAAAACATTCATATAAGAATGCAAATGTACCTGCAATGCTTTCCGATGCGCGGAAGTTGTCGCACTTGCATCTGTCACCCACACACGCACCACCCCGGAATCCAAGCCGTCTACAAAGTTGCTCGCATGCCCGTAAATTGCAACTACGCAGTTGATTTACGTCCATATCTCCGGCGTCGAAGGTTAAATCATTATTATTTTCAGTATCTGTGTGAGTTTTGTAAGATCAATTTATACTATTACTTAAAAACATTCATATAAGAATGCAAATGTACCTGCAATGCTTTCCGATGGGCGGAAGTTGTCGCACTTGCATCTGTCACCCACACACGCACCACCCCGGAATCCAAGCCGTCTACAAAGTTGCTCGCATGCCCGTAAATTGCAACTACGCAGTTGATTTACGTCCATATCTCCGGCGTCGAAGGTTAAATCATTATTATTTTCAGTATCTGTGTGAGTTTTGTAAGATCAATTTATACTATTACTTAAAAACATTCATATAAGAATGCAAATGTACCTGCAATGCTTTCCGATGCGCGGAAGTTGTCGCACTTGCATCTGTCACCCACACACGCACCACCCCGGAATCCAAGCCGTCTACAAAGTTGCTCGCATGCCCGTAAATTGCAACTACGCAGTTGATTTACGTCCATATCTCCGGCGTCGAAGGTTAAATCATTATTATTTTCAGTATCTGTGTGAGTTTTGTAAGATCAATTTATACTATTACTTAAAAACATTCATATAAGAATGCAAATGTACCTGCAATGCTTTCCGATGGGCGGAAGTTGTCGCACTTGCATCTGTCACCCACACACGCACCACCCCGGAAACCAAGCCGTCTACAAAATTGCTCGCATGCCCGTAAATTGCAACTACGCAATTGATTTACGTCCATATCTCCGGCGTCGAAGGTTAAATCATTATTATTTTCAGTATCTGTGTGAGTTTTGTAAGATCAATTTATACTATTACTTAAAAACATTCATATAAGAATGCAAATGTACCTGCAATGCTTTCCGATGCGCGGAAGTTGTCGCACTTGCATCTGTCACCCACACACGCACCACCCCGGAATCCAAGCCGTCTACAAAGTTGCTCGCATGCCCGTAAATTGCAACTACGCAGTTGATTTACGTCCATATCTCCGGCGTCGAAGGTTAAATCATTATTATTTTCAGTATCTGTGTGAGTTTTGTAAGATCAATTTATACTATTACTTAAAAACATTCATATAAGAATGCAAATGTACCTGCAATGCTTTCCGATGGGCGGAAGTTGTCGCACTTGCATCTGTCACCCACACACGCACCACCCCGGAAACCAAGCCGTCTACAAAATTGCTCGCATGCCCGTAAATTGCAACTACGCAGTTGATTTACGTCCATATCTCCGGCGTCGAAGGTTAAATCATTATTATTTTCAGTATCTGTGTGAGTTTTGTAAGATCAATTTATACTATTACTTAAAAACATTCATATAAGAATGCAAATGTACCTGCAATGCTTTCCGATGCGCGGAAGTTGTCGCACTTGCATCTGTCACCCACACACGCACCACCCCGGAAACCAAGCCGTCTACAACGTTGCTCGCATTCCCGAAAATTGCAACTTCGTAGACTTGATGAATCGGTCTCAACTAAGGATAAAATGTTAATTACATACGTATTCAGATGACAAATAATTGAAGTAAACAAAAAAGTAAACTCAAACACAACAGTTGAACAATTTCAGAGCAAGCAAGTTTGTGTAAATGTTGTTAAAAGGTCACATAATTTATTAAACTTCCCTATACAATTAATTTTGACACGTAACAAATATCTGTTAATTAATAAAATAATACCACAAGTATTGCAGCACTAAGTATTTATACTTACACGTCAAAAGTGTAAATCAATCATACTGAATCATTTTAGTTTTTTACGTTGCATGGATTGGTATGTGTATTGTATAATATAACGTATCACAAATCTAATTAACCCAAATAGTTTAGATATTATTAACCCTTACACGTTTCCCACACAAACATCTCGAGGGAAGCGCAATTTTCGACTGTGTTGATTACTCTCATTGTAATTACAGTCCCGTAAAGCAACACGCTTCTGTTCGTAAAGATAAATAAATAGTTCGTGGGTTTTAATGAAACGGACTTAGAAATATATCTTATGTTCATCACGGTCACGGTTTAAATTACTGTAGATAAAGTAATAGGTGTTAATGTAGGATTTCTATATTTATTTACGATAACCTGGTAAATAATCTATCAATTGTTTATTTGTACAGTGGCGTAACTATACCATCTGGGGTCCGTGGCAAATTCTTGGGGCCCTATCAGTAAAAATCGTCATGTTGTACTGTTTAATTTTAATAAACTTCGATATTTTAAGCGTACTCAATTACACGTTGTATATGTCCTACTAATGGCCATAGGCCTCCTCTCTTAAGCGAGAGGGAAAGGTCTGTAGTCCCCACGCTAGCCCAATGCGTATTGGAGATTGCACATTCATCCATAGAAAATAATATCTCTTGGGACGGGGGCCCGTGGCATTTTGCCAGTCCTGCCACCCCAGTTACGCTACTGGTCTTATAATAATTGTATTGTTATATTATATTTTAAATTTAATTGAATTACTTACGTTTGTCGACGAGTTTTTGACATTCGCATCTATTATTTATACAATCACCACCAGGGAATCCCATGCGTCGACACAGCTGATTACATGTTGCGGGGGTGCATTCCTTCAATATTATAGCATCTACAAGATAAAACACAACATTCTAAAACCGATTGTAATTTAATAAAAAAAAACATGTTCTTAATATTAAGAATATCACACTATTCAAAGTTTGCGGTACCAGCGGTACAGTTATTGAAAACGCATACAACGACTTAGCTTTCGTCATTAAATGCAATAATCGGGCTTGTAATGGAGTTTTTATTGTTGAATCCATGAATGGTAATAGTTTTAAAAATAAGTAGCGGGTCTTGTATTTAAAGCACTAGGTATGGCGTGAAATCGTATTGATAATAAGACATATTCTATTAATATTATAATATAAAAAAAATTGTACCGGCGGCCTGTTTGTGATTACATTTGCAGTGGCCGTCCACACATGTACCGCTTTGGTACCCTAGACGTTTGCAGAAATTGTCGCAATCGTGGTACTCACAGTGGCTGAATTCTTGGCTTAAAGTATCTTGGCCTATTAACGTTGTTTTATATGAAATATATATTTTTTAACGAGTACAATGTTGGCATAGTTACAGTACATTCAAGTAATACATAACGTTGCTGAGCAATGATTTTGAAATCATATACCTAATCAAATCATCATAGTTTAATGGGGATTTCTTGTATTAAAAATAGGTCCTCAAGTAATCACTCTTTACTCTAAGTTCTAATTAACCTTATCAGACTGGACTAAAATGCTCTAGCACTTGCTGAACCATAGACTATCAAAGCAAATTATATTCTAAATGATTAATAAATATGTATGACATCTTGTTGCGTCTTAATATCTAGTAAAGTATCGAACATTAAGAAATCATTTTAGCAAAATGATTTTAGCCTTCGATAAGATATTTTTTTTTATAGAGAACCGATTGAAAAATTCAATCGCGTGAATTATAAAGGGTTTTATAATTTCGTGATTATTAAATATATCCGCCTAGCATGTAGATATTAGCAAATTTACAGATTTACTCATTATTAATAAAAGCGAAATTTTAATCGAATTACACTGTGATTTATAACGTCCAAATATAATAAAATATAATCGAAATAACAGTATTAATTATTAAATAACTAACCTTCTTCATAGACATTAACCGTAACATATGCACTAGTACAATAAATAATTGACACCAAAACAAGCAAATTTAACGCCATTTTGACAGCTTACAGGATGAACTACTGTTAACGCTTTGTCGTTTGGACTCATTTATACCCGTGTCTGGGACTTCACCTTAAATGAATCATTGTATTCCTTTTTCATCGTTTGTGTAACTATTTTGATTAGATTAAATATTGCTTCACAACTGAAGGATATCAAGAAATCGAACAATGAACTTTTTGATATTAACAATATGTGGAAATAAAATATATTACGATACGAGAACGAAGTTTAATATGAAAGGTTCTTCATAACGAAAAAAAACGGAATACAACTGAATTATTTACTGCGACTTCTAATTTATTGTTATATGATAAGTTTGTATGAAAATGACAGTTCACGTCGACAAATTTTCGTAGAAATTTAGTTTTCGACTTTCTACATACACTCCTGTTAAGGACCCTTGTTAAGCAGGTCAACCTATGGGAAAAGTCATGCCATTACGATTGGAAGATAATAGGAAAATGTTTTTGAGATTTTATTATTTTGGTTTGTATATCGTTATTAAAATAACCCACGGTCTCATTTTTTATGTACGGATAAAGAGAAAAATATGAATAAAGTAATAGACAAAAACTTTATTTGGTTAAATTATGATTGAACCTAGTGATTACATTAATATCATTAAATTTCAGAGGCATTAAATTTTTAGAAGAAGTATCCTCCTTCGTATTATTTGTTGGATAGTCAAGGAGTCAAGTATAACCAGCATATTGTGTGTAATTTCTTATAAAAGTGTATTATTATAAATCTTTCGATTTGTGTACGTAGTTCTGGTGATGTTCAAGAGATGGCGCTATGATTAATATAAAAAATAATTAATATCCATAATTAGTTATAACCATAAACGCATTCTTATCACATTACGGTCAGAAATCTGCACGTTTCTTTTAATAATAGTGATTCAATGTAGTAAACTAGTTATATGGTATCTCTCAGAAAACAAACACTTAAATAAGTGATACTCCTTGAAACTGTACAAAAACTCATTTACTTAAAAATGAGAGCGAACATATTTATCAAATTAATTGGATTATTTTTTATAATTGCCATGATGTCTTCGATTCAAGGTAAATCATTTAAATTCTTTTTATTAATTTTAATTGTCTTGATATTGATGCTATCCTTAATTTTAAAAAAATTCATCCGACCTTGTATCCAAAAAATATAACAAAGTGTATCTATAATTAGAAATGTCGATTGAAATTTATCGTGTTTCATTTACGAATGTTTTCAAGGTCATAGTTTTCTCTAGTTGTATGTGACTATTCTGTTACTTTAAAAAAAAAACATGCTTTGAATAGAGATCATTATAGACACGGCAGTTGTTATTTAAATACAAATGTATATAACATTTCTTTTTCTTAATTTTGTATTGAAACCGTCTGTGGTGAGTGGTGACACATCAGCAGGGTTATCACATAACTTCGATTTATCAGATCCCGATTTCAATATTTCAAATCACGTAATCCCAAGTTTGAGAAATAAGAAATCTATACAACTTCTTCTTTTCTTTTATGTTTTATTTAAACGTCTCCAGTTGCGCTACAACCTTGTGGGCCTCGCCGTCGATTTTGCGATCTAAGGTATGCCGGTTTCCTCGCGATGTTGTCCCTACGAGCAAGGATACTATAATTCTACCCCCTCACTTTAGGCTATGTGTTAAACAAATATCTTATCCATAAAAAAACAGTTTAAACTAAAGGAGTAAGTGGGAGTTTTCCTCATATGGAATCTTCTTTAGTCGCGCTCTTCATTTCTGAAGGTCGTGTTAGTGACGCCGCACAACTTCCTCCACTCTCTCCTGTCTTCGGAAAGCCTCTGCGCCTGGCTGACGGTACAACCTGTACGGGCCTTTACTTGATCGGTTAAGCGAGTAGGTTATCGACGTCGAGTTCTAGTGCCCTCCAACCTGCCAGTCACGATAAGTTTGGGTTCTGAAAAATGTATTGATCATGGTAAGAAATCATTACTTGTACATTCTACATATTGACATATATTTCCTTCAGACAAGTAAATAAATAAATTCTGCGATCTTAACAATATAAATACTAATTTAATATGATCTCACGCCTAATATTAAAAAAGAAAGTCGTTTTGTACATATATATTTGAAAACGAACAGTATGAAAATAAACAAAATTGTGATTTACTGATCATTGTCGGGAGGTGCCGTCTTCGGAGATACCACATATAATGTATACTAGTATATTATCGCGCATAACTCCCCTGGATAAAAAAAATGATTTGACATGTTTTTAGGTGTCACAAAAGTGGCTTAGTCATTTCCATGGTTTCAAGGGAGGCTATACATATATGAGTAGTGGGGCGACACAATAGGAAATTTTAATCATAATTAATATCTAATTATTTATATAGGATCACCGTTAAAAGATATTTCATTCCCAGAAATCGTACAGTCAGTCAGGTATGAATTTACGTAGCTGTGTTGCATCTCGATTTTATAATTATCACTATTATATTACTATTACATATAAATTAAATATGTTTTTCTGATATTGATAACGGTAAAATACTAATACTGGTTACATTTAATTTACATTAGTTAATGCGGATTCGTGATTTGAATTTAAATGCAAGACCAATTTCACATAAATTACTAGGCGTTTACCATATTAATACTTCTATTAACGATTAACCGCTGGTTATTAATTAACAACCAATTATTTGTTGGTTCAGTTAAATCTTATGTCAATTAAAATTTAAACGAATATTGTATTTTGATTTAAAAAATATTTCAATATTACCTGTATGAAATGTTTTATTGCAAAAAATGAGTTTTGCTTAGCTATGAAGTTTTTATTAGCTATTAGTTAAGTTATTATTAGCTATTAGTTAAGTTATTATTAGCAGGTGCACTTTTTGGGCTCTGTACCTATCTTCCAATCGACAGCGATCCGATTCGGATTTATTCGTACGTGTAGCTGTAGTAGCGGCCGCTGACACGCTGTAGCCCTAATGTCGTATTCTTAGGATCGCGCGGTAGTCATTATTGGGATCGTGATTTCTGTCAGTATAGCTATTGGAAGTTCCAGAGTAAGGACTAAGGGCTCTGGTTTGTAGTAAGCAGTAAACAAATGTAACCATCATTGGTTTTCTAGTGTATGAAACCTATTTATATTAAATAAACTTTATTTCTCATTACAAAAAAAGGATTTTTATTTACATGAGAAACTTAATATAATATAAATATACGAACGAGATACGCGTCGCCATCAGCTATGCCAATTTTAGTCTATTAGGCTCATTTGACTATGTATATTTAATGCCCTTTTGAATTGATTAGTTTAATACTTAAGGTCTGTCTTATAAAACTTAGACAATTACTAAATTGTCATTAATTTGTTAAATATAGTAACAAAATTACTCTACACTGTTTTTTGTATAACTCTGTTTTATAGAATAGCGACGTAAAATCGAATTTAACTATTCGATAGAATAGTATAATAATAATGTGATGTTTTCGGTATATGGAACTTGAGAAGCGCTTTATGGGCGTTTTGGAAATCAGCGGAATCATACATTATTCGAATTGATTACGTTCGACCTACCGAAAATTGACAGTATGGCAGTATTGTATACGAATACTTGACTAAGCTCTCGTAAATTTAGCCCTAAGGAATACGTTCTTTACACATTGAGTTGTACAGACCTATTTTGAATGTGTTTATTTATTTCCAGAAACCGAAGCGGCAATGAAATCACGCTTTTGTAAAATGGACTGTGAATTACTTTGCAAGACACGGGGTTGGAGTTACGGAGTTTGCAGCCGAGGGAAGTGTTTCTGTGCGCGGGGAGTGGGGACATAAAATAAATATATATTAAAATAAAGTTATTTATAAAATGTGTTAATATATCTTTGATGCCTTTTTTACAACATATGCTGACCCGACCGCATTCATGGTATAACGCAATTGAATTCCCGCCGACACATAGTATGAATTTACTAATTAAACACACTTGGTCTACAGTTTAAAGTTTATTGAATAAAAGTAGTATAATATGACTTCCTATAGACCACTCTGAAACTTGTGTGTAAGGGTTTTATTTGGTGTGTAATTTTAAAGCGACTAATAAAAATCAAAATATCATGTAGGTAACTTTTAAAATTATGAACAACAGACAAAATTCAAAAATTTAGATTCACTGCCACTTCTCTAATAGGGCATAGAACAGACTAGAAGAGCTGGCAATTACTAAATTGTTTAGGAATTTTTACAAAATGTTCATTGCTACTCCTCTTTTCGAAGACACTCTTCCTAAAGCCACAGCCAGCGACGTTCAGTTTCCCAGTAATTTGGAGGGATATGTTAAATTAGGCGCCAAGATGTGTTCAGCAATGCAAGACGGTGCTTCACTCCGGGCCATGTAACTGTATAAAGCGCAAGTTTGGCCCCACATGGAGTACTATTCACACCTCTGGACGGGCTCCCCAGTACCAGCTCCTTCCACTTGACCGTATTCAACGAAGAGCGGCGGTACTTGGCGGTGCGTAGATATGTGGGGTCTCTCTGCATCTTGCACCGCATTTACCAAGGAGAGTGTTTAGAGGAGTTATTCGGACCTGCACCTCAATTTCATCGAGGCAGAATACGAAAATCTAGTTAAAGTAGTTTTTGCTGCGCACCACCACTATCTGGAACTAGCTGCCAACTGAAGTATTTCCGAACCAGTTCCACTTAAAAGAGTCCTTCAAGAAAAGAGCGTACCAATTCATAAAAGGCCGCCAACGCACTCGCGAGACCTCTGACATTGAGAGTGTCTATCGCTTAACATCAAGTGAGCGTCATGCCCGTTTGCCCCCTGCAATCATTACACCATGCTGCTCATCACATGTTAATTCAGTTAATTGTAGAATTTGTCTAGTCACATATATTATTTTAGAATTTTGTCAATCTGTTAACCAACCGTCAGCTCAAATTTGTAAGATATGTAATTTACATAGCTTAGGTTAGGGTATTATCAAAATACGGTATTTGCATACGACCCACTCATAAATTTAGAAATTTTTTAACCGTTCTTAAAACACCGAATGAAGCATACAATATGACATGTGGTTTATTGTGTATGTTTCAAGTGCAGTTTCTCTACGGGCGATCTACCTGATTGAATTTTGAAATCGTTTACAAACAAACAACAAACAAAAGGTAATTTAATCATTTAGGTACAATTTGTACACTTATGCATGTCAACTCCCCATCTAACAGCGGCACTAGTGCCCACACATTGTCATCGTCCATGAATTCCCGAACAGTGTAATATCCTCCCTTTGTTAGGGTTTTCTTGATGCAAAGCTTAAACTCGTTTAATAAAAGTTAGTCTCCTAGGCTTACGCTGAATGTTTTGTAAATTGTTATATTTATTTATTAATCTCATGCTAGCTGTGTCCCTCAACGCAATCCGCTCTTATTGGTTGTTGTCTGATATAGTCTTGCATGCTACGATAAATGGGCTATCTAACACAAATTTATGTTCTTCCGAAACAACAACATACGAATTCTTAAATTTAAACTAATAATAAGTTTTGACGTTCAGAGGGGGATATAATTTACAAAATAAATCTATTGAATTAGACCTGTCACGCGTCCGTCTCATCCAAGCACCCGATAGCAAAAGGAATCAGTTGAAGTAGTCATCACGCAATGCCCCGTCCCGTCAAAGTGACATAAGGTGTAGTAGTCAACACGCCATTTTCCTCTAAGAATAGATTAATGCGACGCCTCGTTGCTTCTCTTTCTGTTCGCGCCTTATAATATTGGATATTAAATGCTTTTATAGCCTTTCAGAAAATCCTGGGCATTTTCTAATTATAAAACACACCTTATCAACGTTACATAACTACTGAATTCCAAAATCAATTTAGAGCGTTTCGCTTCGAGCCAAAGCCACTTGGCAGTAACAACCCAATTCTTACTTTTGTAGTTTACTTTCAGGCAATGTATTTAACGACCACGCTTTTTGATGCTCTATTATAAGTGGTATAGAATAGATTTTCAACTTGATTATTACGTTTAGCATCAAATTGCACCGTTTAATAAAACGCAATTTATATGCATGTGATATTTTGTTTAATGATTAGGGTTGCTCAAAGACATAGTAGGCAGTAGATATACACTATGTATTGAAATGTGAAAGATTTTCGATTTACCACATTTAACTAATTTTATTAAATTCAGTCTAGTTATTCTTGAGATGATAAATAGTGGGATCTCGATAACTCGAACCTCGTTAAGTCGAAATCCTCAGTAAGGGCCAGTTTTTTGATCCGTAGTAAAAAATGGTTTTACCATTTGTTACATTAACTATAGTTAAATGAATAACCATTGGTAAAATCGTAAATGCGTTTTTCAATGCCTTTTTTAACTATAGTTAAAGTTAACAATTTGTCAATTTGTTGCCAGTGCAATGAGCAATGACATCCCAAAAAATGTGGTTCTTTTTTGTGGGGATCATTTATTTTGTATGACAACACTAGACATATTGAGTGAATGAAATCCATTTTTGCCATCTTCATTCGTTATTTGCGCTTTGAAGAGTTTGAAGTGTCAAATTAATCTAAATAACACGATATAAATAAAGTTGTTTTTCTGTGATTTAATACGGTTTACACTTTTTACGATACTTAAATATATAAATAACGATGTCCGCAAACAGCCAACGGTCAAATAAGTAAGTTCAAACATATTTTCGTGTTATTTATTCCGGTTTATCTTGTGTTTCGTAATAGAAAATAATACATTTATGTTTTGTTAAAGGGACCATACTGCTAACTTCGCCAAAAAAGAAACTGCCAAACTGGTGATGCTTCTCAAGGATTACACAGTCGTAACCTGCAAACAACTGATCACTGCAGCAATCTACAAAAAGATGCAGCTTGGAAATCTCTGTGACGTTTTCAACTCAGATGGGTCTAGACACCGAAGTGTTAAATTTAATATACATTTAATGAAGGTGTAGGCACATTTTTATATTTATTCTTGTATAGCTGTGTCCTACAACAAAAGGAAAAAATCTTTTAACCCTTTGGAAACAAGGAAGCGGATTATGATCCACACGGATAAAAAAAAATTGAGTTTAGAAACAAAGACAAATAAGAGAGGATGATTTGTTCAATTATGCTTAAGAAGAGCATCAAAAACATTTGCTGCACCAATGAGAGGCCCACCAAAAATTCATACTGCATAAAGAGGAGGTGCACCAAAAAGTGATGCAGCAGATGGAAGAAAGGCACAATAAATATATGTAGCAGCAAAAAGAGTTGCATCAAATTGAGGTGAAATGCAAGAAGAAACAATTAGAAAATATTTAATTGCTACTTTAGGGTTTCATGTAAATTTTGTAATGTTTTTTTAATAAAAATGGTTTGTATTTAAGTTATAATTAAACAGTTTATTAATCAAGTCAAATGTTTTATTTATAAATTCTTGTAATAAAGTAGATAGATGCTAACTCACAAATGTAATAAAAGCCCTAAAGAATATCATAGGTCCCTAACTAATGTGTAGCTGTAGTTTTTAGTATAAGTACATACTTGTATGTACTTATAATAATTATAAGTTAATATTATTAGTAATATATAAATAATATTAACTCTAATTCATTATATATTATAGGCAATAAAACACATAATGAATTAGTAATATACTTAATTATATACTGCTGCGGTTCTGTAGCTAGTAATGAAGCAAAATAGGTTTGTATGAGCTGCTGTCTATATATACTCTTGTTCTTGTATTTTATTTAATTATAATAATTATAAGTTAATATTATAGGCAATAAAACACATAATGAATTAGTAATATACTTAATTATATACTGCTGCGGTTCTGTAGTTAGTAATGAAGCAAAATAGGTTGGTATGAGCTGCTGTCTATATATACTCTTGTTCATTGGCAGTTTAAGATCATTCCCAATTTCAGTAACAATCCAGAGCACTGTTCCCTTCGATAGGGGGTAACAGTGACAAAAATCTACATCATCCCAGGTTTCTAATGGCGGATGACATTGCCTAAATATTTTTGGTCACTCATTAACACATTCTCATATAATATTATCGTCTTCTTCATCGTCTCATTAATTAAAGTATCTCAATATGTTTAAATTCATCATTAGATAGTAATAAACGTATTTATCATAGTTTGATTTCTGTGACAAACAGCTGTTAGTATATAAATTACCAGCGGCCATCTTTTTAACCCTCCGATACTGAGTAGTTAACTTTTTTGACTAATGGTTAGATATTTTACCATTGGATGCTCTTACCACGGATCAAAAACGCATTTTGCTGATATTTAACTAATAGTAACGATTTTTTACCAATAGTTGAGTTAACTACGGATCAAAAAACCGGCCCTAAGTTGAAAAAATTGCCTTTCCGCCGAACCCCTAAATACGCGGTATCTTGAATTATTTAGACTTTGTAACTCGGACAAAATGTTATTTCCCTACGAAGTATTGATAATACATATTTATACTCTATAACTCGAATTTCAAAAAGGAGACTGTTAGTTGTATTCCCCCGGAATTCCCCGAAATAATAGCAATAAAATCCAAAATCAATGTTCGGGTTCGGGGCTTCTAATACATTATTTAATACCTTTAACCAGTATTCAATAAATACTTTATTAATTTTAAACAAATTCAAACAATAATGTATTTCTAGCTCTTTTCAACGGAAGTCAAAAGGTTTTCAAAAGATCAATCGAATAAGCCAGTTTAGCCTTATTATCTTAATTATGTTTATAACTGAAAAAAAATTAAATTTTGAAATTAGAATCAATAATTTAAAAAAGACACACCCTTATTTCTATTGGCGTCATAGCTATTAACATGAATTTTACACATAGCGTTGTGAATAGCAAAATAGGTACTTTGGTATTTATAGGTCGTCTTATCAGTATTTTCAGTACACCCCCTAAACTCAAAGACGTCTGAGCATTATAAATAAGCCATGCTAATCAACAGGGCATAGTAATTAATCTTCTTAACTCTACGGAAGATGGAAGCAATTTTGTATTTATCATTAGTAACAGTTATTTCATATAATATTATAGCTGCGGAAAATTATAAAAGTAAGTACGTATTTTTAATATCAGCGCTGATTTGAGGCTGATTTTTTTACCAACTTGGCGGATAGCTTGGAGTTTCTGGGTTCAGGTCGCGTTGAAACTTTAATGTTTCAGTAGAGGCACACATAGCTGCTCTGGTTCTGGCTGCCTAGTTATGCTGAATTTAAAGAAAATATGTGAAAAAAATAGTTGATTTTAGACTACAATTTTATTTACAGATACTGACAATGAGTTCTCAAACGAGACAGTCCACAGAGCTTACCAAACGGGTGTCGACTTCGGAATAATAAACACAGAAAAATATCCCTTCCTTACATTCCAAAGCGACGAGAGAAATATCTTCAGAGGTCTGTTCAGGGAATATACTTCATTAAATGCCAGTGAGCCTATTAATTACGAGGAGTGGCTCATTATGAACAACTTTGGCATCCTACCCGATACACAGGAGTCTTTGTTTGAAAAGAAAATAGCAAAGCGAAGCACCGCTGATAACAAACGCCGCTTTGTCAATACTGTCAGAAAAGGGGACATACTAATAACTGGAAGAGGTGTCGGTGGGTTGATAGGTCACGCGGCTATTATGACAACAGACTATTGGGTACTCGAAATGCCTGGTGGTACAGGTTGGCAGAATGGTATAAAGAATAATAATAGGCAGTTAAGTAAGCATGCGTGGTTCGATGTACACAGGTCGGATTGGACCACCATATATCGCAACAGAGATGCTAGTGTCGCCCACGCCGCTGCACTTTGGGCGGATCACAACTATTATAATCCCAGAGGCGGTGCCAAGAAAACTATACATGTAACTTATAAAATAACCACAGATATAAAATCAAAGAATCCGAGTTACTGTTCCAAACTAGTTATCCAGGCGTATTATTTTGGAACCGGGAATAAAAAAGTTATTTCAAATTTGTCAGTCAGCGGTAGAGTTATCGTCCCAACAAATATTCCTATATACTTCATGCATCCATATACATTAGTAAATAAGGGAAAATATTAGTAATTTTAAAGTGAGAATAAAATATAATACTGTAGTTTTAATGCTACCAATCATTTTTATGATGATTGATTGATGATGAGGTAGGTGGCTTTTACTCGTATAATATAATGCAATAAATTAGCGATTATATCTGTTAAAGAGGTTTTATTTAAATGTCTAGTACCAAAGACTTAAATATATATAATATTAAAAATTGTTTGTTTTAATACGCTATACCAACCTGCATAAATAGGTTTTATTCTAATACATTATGTTAAAATACGCGCTGCAATTTTCATTTGATGCACTTTTTCATTGAAAAAATTTGTTCAATTCGTAATTTTATTTTTTATAAATACCTATGTAGCTACATAAATAATTAGTAAAATAATCTGAATTCATGGCAAGTCACAGCGTTATCAGCTATAAAAAAATCCAACAGCGCAATACATTAAAGTACTGTTTATAATTGCGTCATTAAGAAACTTTTATCCCTTTTGATCTATCGAAGACATACACAACCAGTCATTGTGCAATACCCTCCACTGAGGTGACCACTCCGCATGCAACGGTTTCTGCATTCCCAAAATGGCATCCCACATCCAGGGGGTGGTTTCACAAAGATTGTGTCCCTTGGTAGTCGTTTGATCATTGTATTGACACCTAAAAAAGTTTACAATGTTTAAATTTTTTAGTGTACTGATTAAGAAAATCAACAAATAATCGGCGCACAACGGCAAAGTTTAATTGTTATCTGAAAGGCTTTGTTGTTAAATAATATAAAACATTAAAAAAAATAAACAATTTTTTGTTAAGTTTAATTGGTTAATGTTTAAAATATTAAAAATCTATTAAAGGTTATTTTAAAGTAAAACTAAAAACACACACTGTCCTCTGTGTCGTCCGTCGAAGCCGCAAAAGTGACTACCACAAATAGAACAGCAAGAAATACAAACGTCTTCATCGTGGAAACCAATTGAAATCTGTAAAATGACAGCACAGATTGAGTTATTTATATACATACCTCCATACTCAGATGCATTGCCTTTTGACCTGTACCACGATGTTATCAACAAATATATCGTCACGATATTATCGCATATCGTAAACACTGTGCCGTTACCACGCACACGGCTTGAGCAGATACATCGATATTAAGCAATGAATAGCTATGTAATATTACCAGTCACATACGAGTTTCTACAACCAGTTACTCGAGGAGTATATAAATATTGGATGTAGAGGGAATACCCGGAGTCAATTTCTCTTTTACTGAATTGCAAGTTGATAAAATGTTTCAACTCACGCAAATTTGATCTTTAACGGAATGAACTAAAGATGTGTGTGGCGTGATAACATTGTTCCTTTATAACGATAGGTACTTTGAAATACTTCTGTGATAAGATTATTATTAAAATGTTTGCAAAAGGCGCCTTTGTGCGGCTCAGTGCGGCTTTACTCATTTAAATTAGGCCGTAATTCAGTTTCCTTGTACTGATAAAACGACAATAGATTATACGTTAAACAGTTATAATATGTATAATTTAATGAAAATGCGAAGTCGTGGAGAACAGTAAGTAAATTGGTTTTCTTTTTGAAGCATACAAACAGGCTTTCGTTTAAGATATGGCCGGTATTCAAACGTAAACTCGGAGTATTTGACTTGAATTAGTGATTGTTGATTGTAAATGTTTTTACTCAAAGTATTTTGTAACTAGAAAAGCAATCGTACAAATAATCAGATTAATTTCGAAATATCTTCATAAAATATATTAATTTAGAACTATGAGTTTATCTTGGGTTATAAGTATTCAAATTTAAATAAGTAATATCTTTCGACAAGAATTTCTATGGGGACTCTATTAAATAATTATCTTTATTGAGTGTTTACCTATTGAGATTCCAGGAATAATATTATCAAATGTATTCAGACACTTAGTCATACGATACAGTTATAAACGCGGGACTTTACCCAGCTTAATAAAGCAAATATTTAGCCATATACGATACCTATAACTTTTTACCGGATTAAAACGTTCACAACGTTTCAATGATTTTAAACTTTTTTAATTTCGTGTTGATTTTACTGAAAAAAACATGTTGTAAAACTTCCGCATCTTTTTGAAGTGAAAGTTCTTTAGGCACATGTGGGTAAAATTTTTACGAAGCGTCACGAAGATGTGCAGCATTTTTGTCGAAGAAAAGGGAGAGAGCGATTGAGACCGATTGAGAGAGAGTGAGAAAGGGCGAACGTAGCATGAAGCAAAATTAGCCATGGGCGAGAGGTGGGCGAGAGCTATAGAGAGAGAGAGTAAGGGAGATCGAGAAAAAATACACGCTATTGGTTGATGTATTCGTTTAGTAGTTCCATTTTATAAATTTGGATGGCAATTCTTGTGCAATAAACGCAGATTTTTTTTTTTTTATACTATCATTACATCGTATGTACAGTGTGTAAACAGTGAGTTAAATTTATAAATAAAATTTTGTGGTAAATTTGTAAGTCGCACTAAGCAGTTGTTCAGAGAAAGTAATATTATATCTGTTATCTTTTTGTTAATTTACAATTTTTTTTGTGAATATAGATACATTTTTACTTTGAATGGATATAATGATCCATATTAGGATGTTTTTCAGCAATATAGCATTTTTGTGGCATACAACAACTTACGTGGGAGGTATCGATATATACTGGTACATGATCATCTATTGGCGCTTTTACCGTAGTTATAAATCATTTACAAAGAAGTTTCACTTCTGAGATGTGTACTTTGTACGCACGCACTTTTTTTTATTACTAACAGAGGGAAACAAGTTTTTAAAACTTGGTAAAATTGGAAAAAATCGATTAAAAATATATCAACTAATTATCACATATAAAGTTATTTAATTTAATTTTGCAATATCATCATATAATTGTGTAAGTAATAAGTTATTAAGAAAATGCTGTGTTTGCCTAGTAATGCACACAGCAATTAGGTTTATTGTTATTTTTGTTTCTAGATGTAAGATTTAGCGGCTTCAGCGTGCGACTCTCATACCTGAGGTCGTAGGTTCGATCCTCGGCTGTGCACCAATGGACTTTCTATGTGCGCATTTAACCTTCAAACGGTGAAGGAAAACATCGTGCGGAAACCGGCTTGCCTTAGACCCAAAAAGTCGAGGGCGTGCGTCAGGCACAGAAGGCTGATCACCTACATGCCTATTAGATTAACAAATGATCATGAAAAAGATACAGAAATCTGAGGCCCAGACCTAAAAAGGTTGTAGCGCCATTGATTACTATTATTATTTCACAGTATTAGCACTTGATATGTTATGTCGTGATGGGCCAAACCTATGAGTAAATAAATCAATCTAAATTCATGCGGTCGTTGTCTTTTTAATCTTACCCTAAGAAAGATAAACTTTATTTTTATTATTGCTTAATATATTGTAAGTAAATTAAAAGCAAAGAAAACACAAAAAACACTAAGAGGTGTTTGGTGTCTGTATGGTAAGATTCAGAAACAAGACCTAGCGCGAACAATGACTTTGACATTCAGGAGTTACGCTTAGCGCTAACTGTCCTTCCTAAATATCACCCTTAGACTAGTCAGTAAGTGGTTATTTTAATACCCATTCAACGACCGTTATGGGTTAATATGGATTTATTTATTTATTTAACACTATATAAACAATAATTGTGTAAATATCGTGAAACGCAACGATAATACGCAAAAATGTGTCCACGTTAAAAAAACTTCACTATAGTTCAAAATAGCACCAAATAAAAATGTTCAAGCGCTCAAGAATTTGGAACTGAGTCACGTCATGGAATCGGGGTCTAAAATTACCTTTACCCGACCCGTGGGTCGAACCTGTAGGATCCATATTCGTAAGTGTGTTGTGCAATTTGTCTCGATTGTACACTATATTTCTCCGACACGGCCGATATCATTCAGATTTCAAACCCGCCTACACACTTAAGCACAGTTTTTGGAATATTCAGTAGTTATACATCGTAAATATTAAATAAATATGCATTCTACGGTAATATTGTATTAGAGTAAGAAATGATACAATGTAAAAACATTTAAATAATTGCGCCAGGTATTTAAGATATAACAAACTATTGTCAAAAATTATTTCTTTGTCTTCTCTCTATCTTAGAAAAACCTTAAATATTATTTGCATGTTACTTGATTAACTCATATTTTACAAAGTGTATTGTTAAACTAATACTGATATGACGACACTAATAATAAACTCTTTACGATGTATTTAAAACGCAGCAAAATTTACTCTTGTGCAGAGAGTGACTAGTAATGTTGTGTAAGTTAAGCATAGTTATAATTTATTTACATTGATTATATGTTAACATGATGAGGTTGAAAAAACAGACATTTGATTTAAAAAAAAAATATGTTTATTAAGGAACATAAGATACATGTATCACTTATTCCACGTCATTAAATTTGAATTTGTAGGCATCCCTACTCATCGGCAAAGAAGACAGAGGGTGTAGGCCGAGAAAAAAAAGCCGGCGTAAAAAACTCTCGGTACTCTTTTAAAATATCAAATCATCAAACAACACTTATTTTAAAACAAATATCGCAAATTAATTAGAAGTAGCCTGTCTAGCACTAGTCCCAGGCCCTTTTATCTACTAGATAATCGTTGACTTTATAGTAAGCCTTTTTACACAGCTTTTCTTTAATACATTTCTTAAATTTATTGAAAGGCAGAGATAAAAGAGCCTCTGGGATTTTATTAAAGAAGAGTATCCCTTTTCCCAAAAAAGAATTACTAACTTTAGATAGTCTAGTACGGGGAAATTGCAGCCTGCGTTTGTTCCGTGTATTAACATTGTGCGTATGTTCTATTCTAGTAAACTTATCACTATTTTTGTATACATACATAATATTTTCATCAATATATTATATATATGGAAAGGTAAGTATATTAATTTCCTTAAATTTATCTCTAAGAGATTCCCTACATTTTAAATTATAGATTGCACGAATAGCCCTCTTCTGCAG